GGGCTGGGGTGGGGCTGGGGTGGGATTGGGAGAGTTGGTAATGGCGGCATCAAGAAGTGGGGTGACATATGGGAGGTCTAGACTCTGCAATGTCCACAAAAGGCCTCGGCTTGATTCAAAGGCAAAGGCGGCTGCCTTGGCGTCCGCTGCGGAGCACAGCTGCGGGGCAAGCTCCCAAACCTGGGTCTGTCAAAGTAGGCACCAAGCGGCCCACTGCTCCTGCGCTCCCAAGCCCGCACCTGCCCCCCAAACGTGATGCCGAGGGTGTTGGCGTGCTGCGGCATGATGGACTGAGTCATGTAGGCCGTCGTGGCCGCCGGCGAAACGCGCGCCTTCTCGCCGTTGGCGCGCCCGTCCAGCGTGGCCGGCAGCAGCGTCAGCGGCGGCGGCAGCGTGGGGCAGCCCTCCCTGCACGGGCGCGGGCGCGGGCGCGGGTGGGCGGGGGTGGTGGGCTTGACGCGGCGTCGTTCATCTTCTCAGCGGCCAATGATCAGCGCAAGTACTCAACTCTGCGCTGCGTGCGAGTGCTTATTGCGGGCGGCCTGCAAACTCAAGGAGTCCAACAGTCGCCTCCCCCCCAAAGACACGTGACATTTAGACGTGACAACGAGGACGGGGCACGAGCGAAACGGCGTTGCAAGGCCCAGTCCGCAGCCGCAATGCAGAGCACACCGGGACATGCCGCGGCACATCACCTCGCGCCCCAGCGCAGCACGACGCGCGGCGCAGCGTGGCAGCGTGGCAGAGCGGGGCCGCCGCGCCGCACCTGTGAGTCACGGGCCGCAGCCGCGAGTTCTCCACCTCCTCCGCGCGCCTCGGGTCCGACGCCAGCGACTGCCGTCGTGCGAGGCGCGCCTGCCTGCGGCCCTCCGCCTGCTCGTAGGTGGCCTGCTGCTCTGGGCCCGCGGGCACGATGCGCGGCAGGGGCTGGCGGAGGGAGAAGGGTGGGATGTGCATGGATTCGTGCATGGGTTTGGGAGCGTCAGAAAGGGTTAAGGACAGATTGGCCGGGTTTGGGGAGTTCTGAGCTGTCTGCAACCGTGCGGTCGGAGGAGTCGTGCGGGGTGCTCCGCAACGCCCGCAGCACACGCCAGCGCGCAAGCGTGCGCGAGAGCAGGCGCCCCCGCCACTCGCCCGCCAGCCCGCACCCGCGACTTCGAATCCTGGGCCACCAGCGCCGCCGCCGGCGTGGTGGCCGCGGCGGCGGACGCAGCCGCGGCGGCCGCGGCGCCGCGCTGGGCGCGGCCCCTGAGGGACACAAATGTGAGGTACGCGCTGCAGCAGTGGTAGCGCACGCCGGTGCGCATGTCCTCAGCCTCGACGCGCACGCCGACCTATGGCGAGGCGTGAGGGGTTGGGAGGGTGGTTGAGGCGGGGTGGAGGGCTGAGGGCCCGCAGGGCGGCCGGCGGCCAGAGCAGCTTTTGCAGGGGGCGGGCTCCAGGGGACGCAGATGCGATGCATCGAAGCCACGTGTGCGCGCGCGCACGCATGTGTGTGTGTGCGTGTGCGTGTGCGTGTGTTTGTGCGTGCGTGCGTGCGTGCGTGCGTGCGTGCGTGCGTGCGTGCGTGCGTGCGTGTGCGTCTGTGTGCACACGTACAAAACCCCCTTGGCCGCACCTCCATGCTGCTGCTGAACGTGCGGTTGACCATGGCCGCCACGATCACCACCTGCCCCAGCCTGCAGGGCCGGATAAAGTGCACCGCGTCGACGCTGATGGTGACGCAGGGGCCGCGCGCGAGGGTCTTGGCGGACAGCCCCGCGCAGACGTCAATCCAGGAGAGCACCTGGGATTCAGGGTTCGGGTGGGCAAGGGGTTGTTGCATGCACGCACACACGTCCATACAAACGCATGCGCGTCAGGGACGGAGCAGTGATTCTGCGGTCTGGGAGGCGTTGCCGCACGCGCCAGGTGAGGGGTTGAGGTCTGGAGCGGATGGGCGGAGAGAGGGCTGATAAGAGCGGGCGCTTCAACCCCCAGCGGCACGGTGCCGGCAGCAGCAGCAGCAGCAGCAGCAGCAGCAGCAGCAGCAGCAGCAGCAGCATCAGGTGCCGCGCAAATCAAACCATCAGCCTGACAGGTCACGCGTGCTACGGCGAGGCCCCTTTTTGCTGAGGGTGTGGCTCGCTGGCTCGCGCTGCTCTCATGGAGATGCCATGAGTGATGATTTCGATGATAAAGATAATGCCCTACCTGGCCGCCGGTGCAGATGCCCAGGCCGTCGCATTCTGAGGGGGCCACGATCTGATTCATGACGATGCGGGTCGTCTCCATGGGCACCGCCGCCGGCAGCGGCACCGCCGACGGCGGCGCGGGCGGGACGGCCACTGCCGACAGCGCCTGCGCGAGCGCGCCGCCGCTGCCCTGGCGCGCCGGCGGGGTCGGCGGCGCGGCGGCGCCGCTGTGGCCTGGGGCGGCGGCCGATGAGAAACGGGGTGTTTCAGGCGGGGATGAGGGGTCAGAGGCGTGCTGCCAAGCCAGGCTTGCACCCAACACATTTCACCCCCCTAGCTTGCTCTGGCCGTGCGCTTGCCCAGCGCAGCGATGCTGTGTCATGCGCACAGTCCGCCGCCAGCAGCGCTCAACTCGCGCCCCAAAAGCGGCGTGCGCGTGGTGCGCTCACCGCTGGCGTCGGACACTCTGGGCGGCGCGGGCGACTGCGCGTCGAGCGGCGGCGCAGCCCTGGGCGCACCCGCCCCGTTGGTGGCTGCGGCCACCACCAGCGCCCTGGACTGCTCTGGCCGCTGCAGCTTCTCCTGCTCCTTCTCCTTCTCCTTGAACTGCTGCTGCTGTTCAACCTGAGCCTGGGCGAGCCGCAGCGCACGCAGCTGCTCCTCCGCCGCAGCGAGGCGCTGCTGCAGGTCCAGCAAGGCGTCAGTTGTTGGCGCTGCTGCGCCGCTGGCGGTCGGCTTGGACACACACGACCCCATGGCGAAATTGAACTGCGTTGGTCTAATCCATGTACATGCCTGAGCTGCTGCGGCGGAGCCCGCCAAAACACGAGCGTAGGCTGCGCACTCCAAATTTGCCCGCGTCAGCAGCCCCCGAGTTTTACGCAGTCTCCTATCGCATTCCTGAACGAGCTAATTTGCTGCAGCATTCTTTGAAAATTGAATAGGACAACTTCACACATACGTGGGCCAGCACAAGAACGACTTTCTCTCACCAGCCGCGAGTGACCCAATCGCTGGCAGCTGATCTTGATCAATGCACCCGCCACAGAGATGACCAGGAGCATCCTGATCTCTCTGCTGCTGTGCGCGGCGCACGCGGCGGCGGCCTGCGATCGCCTGTTGCTGTCGGGGGCGGCGGGTGCCGGCGGACGCAGCGCATTTAGCTGGACGCTTACGAATGCGAAGCGATCCGTGTCGATCCCAGCGGCTGTCCCTGGCTACGCTCTCGAAATCTTGAGGGTGGCAGGCATCGTGCAAGACCCTCTATACCGGTGCGGGACATAGCACGCCCGCCCTCGGCCAGTTGGACACAGGCTACCACAAGCCTCGTCGCTGTGCGTGACCGGGGCCCAGCCCTCAACTCAACCCCCATTCGCCCCACGATCAGCACGCAGGCATGGCCTTCTACAACCCCATCGAATCCCTGAGCCTAGATTTAGCAGCGCGCTCACAAGCCCCCCCCCCTCGCTGCGCCTTGCACCGACTTCCAACCCCCGCATCCACAGGCAGCCGCCCGAAATTCCAATCCTTTAATTCCGCGCCCCCCACGCCGCCAGGTTTGGCGAGCTCGAGGCCCGATGGGTGGCGCAAGACACCTGGAACTTCACAGTGGTGTGGCCGTCCGAGCGCCACGCCGCGCTCGCCGCGCGCGCGGCCGTCGTGCTGCGGCTCGCAGGTGTGGATGCAGCGGGGCGCGTCAACCTCAATGAGCGCGACGTGGCGCTGACCGACAACTCCCACAGGTGTGCTGCATCTGGACAGCCAGCCCCGCCTATGCTCGTCCCCAGGACCGGCCCTTTTGCCTACTCGACTTCCGCCGCCCTCCCCGCCTAAGCACTACGTAGGGGCAAGCGGAGGGCACGGCGTGCGTCCGATTGGGGCGCAACGTCCGGTCGGACGATCATGCATGCAATGCTGTGCATGCATGGAGCATCGCATCCCCTGGGCATGCCAACACTCGACCCGCGCACCGCGATCTCCACGTTCCAGGCAGTGGGCTTTTGACGCGAAGCGGTTCCTGCGGGAGGGGGCCAACCTGCTGCAGATCATAATACGGCCGGCAGTCGAGGAGGCGCTGCTCCACAAGCGGGCGTACCCCTACCCCGTCCCCACCCTGGCGGTCAGCGGCCGGGGGCGGGGCTCATCTGCGACGCGCATGCGCCTGAGGCCCAGGGGTTGGTTTCAGATGACCATCGGGCTCCCTGATTGTTGATGCAGCTGCGGGCTGCCTACAAACAGTTTGCTGGAAACATTGTCAATGCAACTCCCACATCAGTGTTTGCAGAGTGCTCCTACACAGGCACGGCACGCCGAGGCAGGAATCGTTGACGCAATCACCGCACATTTGCATCCCAGCCCCTCACCGTCGGCCCATACACATGTATGCAATGCAATTGCATGCGCAGGCCCCCGGGGCCTGGGACGTCTACAATTTCCTGCGCAAGCCGGCCTCCGACTTTGGATGGGACTGGGGCCCCGCCTTTGCCCCCGCGGGCGTGCACGGCGTGGTGGAGCTGCTCGGCTTTGACAAGGCCCTGCTCACGGGTGAGTCGTGATGACGTCAGCACGCACGGGAGCCCGGCCGCAGGACGACAAGGATCGCAGCGGCAGCGGCAGGGGCAGAAGCTGTGCTTGGTGCAAGCGCCGCTCTACGCTTGCACGCGTCCTCGCGCCTCCTTGGCCGTCCTAAGCCCTAAACCCTGAAACTCAAATTCAGGTGCCAATGTTGACATCAGCAAGTGTGAGAGCGGCGCCAGCTGGCTGGTCCAGATCGAGGCCACCTTCCTGCTGCCACCTGGCGGCGACGCCGGGAAGCTGTCGGCGCGGATTGAGGCGCTGGGGGCGTACGCAGAGCAGCAGGTGCGTGTGCGGGGGCGGGCGTGCTGCATGCACCACGTGGGTGACCCCTGACCTTTATTGTTGGTCGCCTGCGGTGCTCCCAGCTCAATGTGGCCGCCCGCAATACACCCCCTCCTTTTGCTCAACGCCTCGGCTCGCACTGGTTGCCCCTCTCCGACAAAGGCGACGTCTCAAAACATTGACAAAAACACTCCCAAACCGCTTTTCCTCAAACAGGTGCAGCTGCAAGCCTCTGCGGGCGCCGCCGCCCCCGCCCCTGCCGTGGCGGAGGGGGTCGCCCGTGTCACCCTCAGCATCCCCACGGCCGGCCCCGAGCTGTGGTGGCCGGTGGGGCTGGGGCGGCAGCCGCTGTACGATCTTGTGATCGGGTTTGAACCTGATGGGGAGTCATGCGTGGCCCCCTCGGTCACATCCCTCAGATCATCCTCGGCAGAGGCCGGCAGCCGCGACATCGGCGCAAATTGCGGCAGTACCGGCGGCGGGGCGGGGGGTGCGGCCGGCGCCGCCGGCGGCGCGGCGCGCGCGGCGGAGGTGGAGGGTGACGGCTGCGGGTGGCTGCTGCGGCGTGTGGGTTTCAGGACAGTCGAGCTGGTGACAGATCGAGTGTCCCAGGCTGAGCAGGAGCTGATGCCGACTCCTGAGGACGCCACGTCATCAGATCAAGACGTCACCCCAGATCACGGGCTGGATGATGTGGCGTCCCCGCCAATCAAGGGCGCCGCCGGCCAGGCGGGCTGGGGCATCACGGGCGACGGCCGATGGGTCAACGCCCAAGGGGCGGCGACCAAGGGTGCCTGGTGGTTCCCGGCGCGGAAGCCGGACAGGCAGTGGCCGCAGCCGCCCGGGCACGAGCGGTTCGAGCCGGCGGATGCGCAGGGGAGTGTGTTCTACCTTCGGGTCAACGGGGTGCCGGTTTACGCCAAGGTGGGTGGGTGATCCGAGATCAGAAGGATCTGATGGCATCCCAACAGGCCCACCGCACGCACATCCAGTGCTCGGCCCCATTCACCTGCCAACCCCACCCCTCTGTTCCTCACGTAGGCTGCTATCCACCCATCTGGGTGTGCGCCTCCCCGGATTCCAGCAACCCTCCCTGGCTCGCCCTCATCCACCCCCCTCAATGCCTGCGGCCGCCCAGCCCTATCCAGAGTGCTGAAATGACTCTCTGCCCCCCCTTCAGCCGCCACACTCCCTCTTGCCACCTGCAGACATATCCTTGCACCACCGCGCCCGCATCACTCGCGCCCACCCCCCCCACAACCACCTCCTACCAGGGTGCCAACCTGATCCCCCTGAGCGTGCTACCGACCAACGTCACCGGGGCACACCTGAGGCGGCTGCTGGGTGACGCCCTGGCGGCAAACATGAACATGGTGGGGCCGCGAGGGGGACGGGGGGTGCTCCAGCGAGGGATGTGCAGCGGCCGTGGGGTTGGGTGTCGATAGTCGGTGTGCCGAGGCAAATGCAGAGGTTCAAGGTATGTGGACGGGCTGGCTGTGAGCTTTGTGTGCGTGACATGACTTGAAGAAGGATCCAGCTGCTGGCCCGCCTCCCTGCAAACCAATGTGCCGTGTGGCGCCCTCACTATACTCCGCATCCGCCCCTGTCAACCCCCGTCCGATCCCTGCGATCGCCCCACGACGCCGGTCCCCGCCGCCACCCCATGGCAGGTGCGCATCTGGGGCGGCGGTGTGTACCCCGATGACGCACTCTACGACTACGCCGACTCACACGGCATCATGATCTGGTGGGCCCTAGATCTTCCCCTGTCAGCTGGATTCATGCAAACCGTCACCTCACTCGCCCCGCACGCTGCGTGTAGTTCGGCCTGCCACTGCTGCCCAAACTTCAGTCCCACGCTTGTGTGCCGTGTGGCGGGCCGGCTTCCTCATTTCTTCCCGCCCACTTGGCTTGCCTACCCACGCTGGTTTGCCCCCCACCCATCCACCCAGCCCCGCCGCATATCTCCGCACCCAACCTCGCCCACACACCCCTGCTGGCATCCCCATCCCTTCCCGTTCCTCTCGTTGCAGGCAGGAGGCCGCGTTTGCGTGCGCCCCCTACCCTCGTGACCCCACATTTCTGGCCAACGTGGAGGAGGAGGTCACCCAACAGGTGGGGATTGGCAGCCTGCAGATGGGGCTTGCCTAGGGTTTAGGATTAAAGGGCTTGCAGGTGGGCCTGCTTTGCAGGTGGTCGCTGGCGTCAGTGCAGGGCTCGCGTACAGGCCTGGCACGCCGGCTGGACGCAGCCACAGCCATTGCGCCGAAACTCACTGTTCAAGGCCCCCTGGTCTCAGGGGTCGGGGTTCTGAGGGAGGGGGGAGTGTTGCCTTCAAGCTGCTGCCAGTTGCGCCTGGGTGCTGCTGATTTTAATTGAACCAGGGTAGTATACTCCTTGGGACCTGCACGCGCACACAATCAAGCTGCCAGCGCCTCGCAAAACACCGATCTGAAAATTGCCATGCACCATTAATTAAATGCCGACGGACCCACATGCACCCCATGCCTTGAAAATCACAACCGCTACAGGTCCGCCGCCTCAGCTCCCACCCCTCAATCGTGATCTGGGGCGGCAACAACGAGGTCGAGGCGTCGATGGAGTGGTACGAGGACACCAGATCAAACCTCGGGCTGTACGCCGTCGATTACGCACGACTGTTTGTGGACACCATCGGCGGCGTTGTGCGGCGGGTAGGGCTGGGCTTGGCTGTAGGGCCCGTCTGGGGAGGGCGCATTGGCAACGGCACGGGCCAGTGTCGAGCCTTTCAAGCCTGCGCCTCAACATGCACGCACTCTGATGCTCTTCTACCTGTACACATTTACAAAGGACACATGCTTTAAATCTAATAACTCCAAACAATGATATTGATACCGCCCGCTTGCAGAGCACCAGGTTCTCGCAGGGCGTTTGCAACACCCACATCAGCACTCTTCCATTCTGCAACGTGGTCGACCGCCCTTGTTCAAGCGTCGGTATGCCCAGATACTGATCCGCATGCACGCTTTGCTCGCGCGCTCGAATTCCCTGCCGCCACCGCAGATGCTGCCCTCTACGCCGTACGTGGACAGCTCCCCCAGCAACGGCATGGTCAGCCCCGCGTTGGAGGTCAAACGCTGGTCAAACGCGCAGGCAAGCACGCGAGAAGCGCCTGGCGGCCCGTGTCACTCTTTCTGAGGGCCCTTCACATGTGCAACTTTATTGATGGTGTGCAGCCAACGGGTGTGCTGGCGGGCCTGCAGATGGGTATCATTTATGGAACGCGTGTGTGCCTTTCGTCGTGCAACTTTCCGGACAGTGGCTCATGTCCACTGCTCATGCCCCGACCACCCCGCAGGACCCGTCGCATGGTGACGTGCATTACTACAATTACGCCGCAGACTGCCAGGTGAGGCTCCTCCTGTTTGTTATAGCCATGGCCATGCCGTTGGCGTGCAATGACGCGTGTGTGTGTGTGTGTGTGTGTGTGTGTGTGTGTGTGTGTGTGTTACCTCAGGGGTTGCTTTCCGCCCTGGCCCATTATCACACGCAAGCGCGCTGCTTGTGTGTATGCAGTACGTCGCGCATGCCGGCGCTCATCAGTGGCGTCCAGGCATCCCTGTGAGCCCCTCGCCATGCACTACTTTGCAGGACTGGCGCCACTACCCCAAGGCCCGCTTCATTTCAGAGTATGGCTGGCAGGTGGGAGCCATTCTAGCATAGACCTTTACGGATGTATTGTGCACTTGCGACAAGCTGGCACAGTTGTACAAGGCGATGATTCATCAAATCATCCATGCTGCACCATTGACGCTCGGAACCCGCCCTCTGGCCCTCCCTGGGTGCGTGCTGTGTGCACGATTCCCCCCAGCCACGGAGCCGATCGCTCCGGCTGCGGTGCACCCCCCAATACACGGGCTGCGGCGCTGCGCTGGCTTTCCTTTGTATCGTTTGTCCTCTTTTTTTTGTATCATGCATCACCCTTCCCCCCCTCCATCCACACAAAGCACACACAAAGCACACACCATTCCAGGGACCCCTCTCTTGTCCGGCTGGCGACCACCCGCCCGCATCTCCTGCCCGAAACACCTGCACGCCCCGGTGCCCTTCTCATGGCACTGATATGACCCCAAAAGCAAACAACCATGCGCGCAACATATGGCCCCCGCTTATAACACCCCCCCTCTGCCAGAGCTACCCCTCGTGGCCCACCTACAGCGCCGCCACAGCGCCTGAAGACTGGAGCCTCCAATCCCAGATGCACGAATTCAGGTAGGGTTCAGGCTTCAGGGTTAGGGTACAGGGTCCCTGCCACGACTTCAGGTGGGGTCCCCTTCTGATTTTGCGATGCCTGATACTGGACAGAGCCGGCTTTGCTTCACCACCGACCTGCATCATGCGCCTGCAGCCCCTCCCTCTTCCCCTCCACCCGACAAGCCACCGCTCCGACGGGACCCCGTTGCTCGCCGCCGCTCCCCTCGACGCAGGCAGCGCCACCCAAACGGCACGCGCGAGCTCCTCGCCCAAATGAATCGCCGCTTTAAGCTGCCGCCGTCCTGGCAAAACGTGCTGAGTCAGCAGGCGGGAGCTGACACGGGCACAGGGCACCACACCAGGGAGCTGCTGGTTTCAAGAGACCGGGACAGGGTGGAGATCAGGGATCATGATCCGGATTGGGATCTGAGGGGCAGTGGAGATGGGGCTTTGAACGAGGAGAGCAGCAGGAGCACAGGGAGGTCTGCTGCGAAGACGAAGGGGCAGGAGCAGCAGGAGTATGAGTCATGGATCTACCTGACACAGGTGGGGAGACTGGTGTGTGACCGTGATCTCAGATCAGCAAATCTTGATCTTGCAACTCTGTCAAATAAAATGCATCTATGTCAAATGAACTGGTAGCGTATGAAGCCGGTGAGGCTCCCCTTGACTCATGGGGCCTTCTTTTGGTGGTGTGCTGTGCCAAGCGCCTAGCAGTGGTTTTGTGCAGCAGGGCAAGTAGTACGAGGAATGCAAGAATGGGCTTGCTGTCGGGCTGCCAGCCCCAAGCGCGTGCTGACCCCCTCGCCCTTGCGCGCCCCTCGGCGACTCCCTTGCCACCCTCCAAAAACAAACCGCACACCACAAACATGGCAACGTTGCCGATGACAACGACGATCACCACGCCAGCCGCACCCCCCCCCCCCCACACACACACACCGCCAAAGGTCCAGCAGCTGCTGTGCTACGACACGTCCATCGGCCTCTGGCGCCGCCTCAGATCACAGCCAGGCGTGATGACCATGGGCGTCCTGTGAGTGCGCGGCCCGAGCGGCCCGACAAAGAGCGAGCTTGCACGCCGGCGCGCGGTGTATGCTGTGCAGCCGCAAATATGAGCAAGATACTTCATGATCTGCCAGATCTGCCAGCTCAGGGCTTGCGCCTGCGTGCAGGCGCACCCGCGGCCGGGCGGCTCGTCCATGCCGGTGTGCATGCCGCTGTCTTTCAGCCAGCAAAGCGACTGTCATTCGGCTGTCATCCGGCCCAATCCTCAGCGTGCTCAGCCTCGTCACCCACCTCAAACAGCCCCCCTGGCCCGCCCAACCCCCTACCACATCCACCGCACTCACTGCAACCCCCCGCACCCATCCCCCAACCACACCCACTGCAACCCACAGTACCCACCCATTGACCGCATCCATCACACATTCCCTGCACCCACTGCACCCAAACGCAGCTACTGGCAGCTGAATGACATCTGGGCGGGCGCCAGCTGGAGCAGCATAGACCACGGCGGCCGCTGGAAGCCGCTGCACTACGGCGCGGCGCGGCTGTTTGCCCCCCTGGCGCTGTCAGTGGCCGAGTCAGAGGACGGAGCATTGGAGGTGGGGATCAGTTTGGGGCTGTGTGTGTGTTTCCTTTCAGATTGGCAAGGAGGGAGACAAGCGCCCCTGAAGGCTAGGCCGGGGGGCTTGGGAGGATGCTGCTATAGCTGTTTGATATCGTGTGTGTTTGGGGGCGGGGACGGGCCCACACGGCGAGTGCCGCCGCACGCTTGACGGCGGGCAAGGGTGAGGGGTGCCTCGGTGCAGAATGATGGTGAGGCTTGAAGGGGTTGGTAGGGTGGTTGTGTGGGTGGGGGGGACTGCGCATCAGGGATGCAAGCGGGGCGAAGCAAGGTACGTTTTCAGTCGCTGGGGGGGGGGGGTCACAAGTCTGGCGGAGCAAGGGAGAGGGGTTGAGGGGGACTGTCTGGGTATGCCAGGGGGTCCGCTGCAGGGCTGTGGGCAAGGCCACAGGCACAGAACAGAACTTGGTTGAGGATTCTGGTGCAAAGAGCCTCAGAGCTGCAGGCTCACTGGGACTTGAACAGGGGACATTTGTGCCGAGTGCAAAAACACAATGGCGAGCTTTGAACTCGCACATGCTTGCCACCACCCTCCGAGCACCGCCGCCCGCCTGGACGCGCCCCGCCCGGCCGGCGGACCCTGTTGGATCCCTGTCGAGAAGGAGAAAATCCTCTTGTGGGCAGCTAATCTGCCCCTTCGACTGCCAGCGACACCCGACGCTTCTGGCCCCACCACCTGCGACACCCCTCTGTCAGCACCACCCGCCATAACAACCTATCACCACCCTTCCGCGGCAACTCTTGCTCACATCAGGTGTACGCCATCAGCGACCTGCGGGAAGCGATCACTGTCGATATCAGAGTCGCCGTCCACTCTGTATCATCATCAGCAGCACCTGAGCAAGGCGGCGACGGCGACCGCCGCCGCCCACACCTCGGCCGCGGCGAGGCGGGCAGCGGCGGAGCGTGCAGCGGGAGGGACCGAGCCGCGGCGAACGCGGGGACGGCCCGCGCGGGCGGCGCAGTGGTCAGGGTGCCGGGCGGCGCGGCGGCGCGCGTGTTCAGCTCGAGCGTCGAGGTGTTGCTCTCGAAGCTGCCCGGCTGCACACGGGACGCGTGCTTTGTGAATGTGTTCGCGACGCCCGCCGCCGGCCGCGGCCGCGGTGCCGACGGCGGCGGCGGCGACGGCGGCGAGGCCGCCCCTGCTGCGGCAGAGGCGACCTACTTCCTCGGACCGTTCAAAAACCTGCCGCTGAGGGACCCCGAGATCCGGACCTCGGACTTCGAGCGCGCCCCCGGCCGCGGCGACGCCGTGACGTTCGTCGTGGCGGCGCGCGCCGCGGCGCCGCTCGCGTTTTGGGAGGCTCCGGGCCTGGCCGGGCGGTTCTCTGACAATGCAGTCACCCTGCTGCCTTGCGAGCCAAGGGTGATCACTTTTTTTGCTGCCGACGGCGCTGGCGTCACCCCGCAGCAGCTGCGGCGGGAGCTGCGGGTCACCAGCCTGTGGGACCACCAGCAATTCTAGAGAGTCGAGTAGTTGCTGTTGACTCGGTGTTTGGGTTTGGCACGTCGATGCATGGTGACATTTGATGTTTGGCCTCCTCAAGCCAATGGTGTCGGCGCCGTACATGCTGATGATTGGAAATTTGTTGCGGTCGCGCGTTGCACTGCAAATCTGCACAGCAACTGCTGCCCACCGCAGACCTTGCAAGCCGGCAGCAGCACACGCGCAGATTATATGCAGCCCTCCTGCATGGCTGCGCCCGCAGCACTGACCACCCATGCCCGATGCCCTCAGTCCCGCCGCCTCGCTTGCAGCCCTGACTGACGATGCGCCCGCGCACCTCACCGTCCTGGCCCTCTGGGCGGCTGCGATGCCGCCGTGCTAGCCCAACAGCCTCGAAGGCTGGACGTTCTGAGTGGCCCTGCTGCCCTCACACGGACCCCAGTTAGCCACCGGCACTGCTGTCGGCCCTTCGTCCTCTGCTGCCACCACTGCCGCAGCCACTGCCGCTGCTGCCGCTGCTGCCGCTGCTGCCACAGCCGACGCCACCAGTAGTGCTGCCCTCCCTGCCGCCGCTGCCGCCGCACCTCCTGCACCCCCTCTGATGCCCTTGGTTGCTGCAGCGGCAGCCCCACTGCGGGGTCCTCCACTGCCCTCGCCAGCGACCCCGCGACCGCCGCCACAGAGCGCCACACCCCGGAGCTCCACCGCCTGGGATTTCGTCGCCGTTGCCGCCACTGCGCAGAGCCTCCCTGCTGCCTTCTGGCAGCACCACATGCAGGCTGATATGTCAGGCCATCAAGGCCCAGCTATCACCCTGCCTGCAAGCCATGGCCACAGCCCGAGATGGCGCGCCCTCCCGCAGGTGCCGCCCACGCCAGCACCGGCTGATGCTACATGTAACGCACTGTCGTACCGAGTGGGTGTGCAACACAGCCTGGGGTTTCCAGGGAGGCCCGGTCACCCCTGGTGTCCCCCATAGCGTGCATGGTCTTGACAAGCCAGACAGCCGCAAGCCTCACACAGACCGAGAGGCATGTAGCGGAGCCATCAGACTGAGACATGGGTGGCATGAGTCCATATTATCCACCTGCATTGCCCAGGGGAGCCCATCGGCTTGGATTTGAGACTTGTGACAGGATTTTGTCCAGGGCCACGAATGTGGGCCATGGTAAAACCAGCGATCCCAAGCGTACGGGAGGTCTGATTGATACAACGGGCAGAACTTGGATTGTTCACTGTGTGATTATACACTGGCCCAAGTTTAACAGCCCCATGTAGCCCCTGTACAGAGGACGGGGACAATGTGGCAATTGAGCAATGGGAGCGTGCGAGTGCAGTGAAGCAGCGGTGCTGCAACTTGGGGTTGCCAGGCAGCCAGGCCAGCCAATGCTCGCCAATAATATAAATTTCTATATGATGGTCGGATTGCCGCCACGAAGCCCATCGATTTGGGCCGTGGGAGGCGCTGATACTTTCTGTGGCGCGCGTCACGCACCACACAAGCATCCGGTTCTAGACGGGCGCCTCGCCTTTATAATCCCCTCGCGCCTGTCCAGACACACTTTTGCGAGACACCTTCATTCTCATTCTTCAGCTCCGAGTAATCCTCCCTACCCTCTCCACACTCCACAATGAGGACCATGCTCAACAAGGCCACCGCCCGCCCCTCCGTGGCGGTGCGCTCAATCTCGGGCAAGGCGTCCGTGAGCGGCAAGTCCACCGCTGCCGGCAAGGCCCAGACTGCCCGCGAGTGTGAGTGGCACGCCTCATGCGCGCGCCCTGCGCGCGTCTCCTGTGGCCATTGGTCCCTTATCGCGCTTTTGAACTCTAATAGGAGCCGCACGTGCTGACAGGGGCTGCCTCGGATCCGCATGCCGGCCAAACCACCACCGCGCGGGCATCCGGGCACCTGAATCCTTGAAGGGTCCTTAGAGCGGCCTCTGTGGACAACCAGGGCATTACACATACGCCCATGAAAGCTCTGTCGCCAGGCGCTCACCCCTCGCGCACCCTGTGCAACCCCTTCAACCACGCAGACGCGGCCACCCTGCCCGGCATCAGCGAGCCCTTCCCCAACATCTTCGACCCGGCCAGTGCGTAACGGATGGATGCATAATCGCAGTAAAGCTCGAGGGAGGCCAGCTCGTAGCCAGATGTGCCCTGTGTCAGTGCATCTGCTGTGTGAGAATTGCGCTGTGCCCGGGCCACCCATGGCCACCAACGGGCACCAGACGACGGTCAGACACACGCACGGGCGCCACTCACGGTCATGCCCTGTGCTCAACTGACATGACCCCACCCATCCGCGCACCCACAATAGACTTCCTGGAGACCGCCTCCGTCCGCGATGTGCGCCGCTGGCGCGAGAGTGAGATCATCCACGGCCGTGTGTCCATGCTCGCTGCCCTGGGCTTCGTCGTCGGCGAGAACCTGGAGGACTTCCCCGCCTTCTATGTGAGCAATCTGTGGAGCCCGCAGTGCCTTGCGCAGCACGACGTGGGAGAACTGTATCCCTGGCAGTCACAACCCCCTTTCTTGCCATTCACCTGACCCTTGTGCCGCCCATTGCGTTGCCTGTCACCTCCTGCACCCGGTCCTAGCCCTCACCCCCTTCCCTCCCCCACCACCCTGCCCAATGTACCGCAGAACTTCGACGGCCAGATCTCTGGCCCCGCCATCTACCAGTTCCAGCAGGTGGAGGCCCGCGGCGCCATCTTCTGGGAGCCCCTCCTGCTCGCCATCGGCCTGGCTGAGTCCTGGCGCGTGGCGGTCGGCTGGGCGACCCCCGTTGGCAACGGCTTCAACCAGCTCAAGGATGACTACGAGCTCGGTGAGCTTGCCGGCAGCCCCTGCATGGGACCCCCTGCATGGGACCCCCTGCATGGCAGCCCCTGCACGGCAGCTTGAAATCTTGCACCACCTGCCTTGAACGCCTGGGAGTGTTGCGTGAGCCTCGTGCTCAGATGCGAGCTCTTCACTGCGGGCACAATATTCATACACACACACACACAAACGACACATCTCACTTATGTTAATTATTTTGAGTGGTCTCACCTCATTCCATTTCCCACTATCCAACCATCCCAACATGCAGGCAACCTGCTGTTCGACCCCCTGAACCTGGCCCCCACTGACCCCGAGGAGCTCAAGGTGCTGCAGACCAAGGAGCTCAACAACGGCCGCCTGGCCATGATCGCCATCGCCGCCTTCACCGCCCAGGTGCGGGGCAGCCACCTGTCATCTCTGCTTTTGCATCCTGCAAGTCAACGCCTGCCAGATTGTCATGAGCTGTGCTCTGTTCCCCCTTGCAACTGTCTGCAGCTCGATGTTGTGCACTTTCTCTGACAGCCGAGCTCTGACCTCACCCTCCCAACTCCCAAATTGCCCACCGCAAACCCACAGGAGCTGGTCAACGGCCGCGAGATCTTTGAGCACCTGTTCATCGGCGTGGAGAACGAGGTCATCGCCGAGGCCACCCTGGTCGAGAAGGAGATTGGCCTGATCCAGTAGACGCTGCCCTCTCGCAGCCGCGTGCGAGGCTTGGCCTCGCAGGGTTTGACCCGGGACTGCGCCAGATTGGGCGCGGTGGGGGACGCAGCCCTCGGATTCGAGGGTGCCCCCGTTTTTGGAGAGGACGTGTTCGGGTGTGGGACTACGGAGCTGCTGCCAGGTTGATTTTCAAATCATCCCTGTGTTGCGGCCGGCCGGTGGGTCCGACGATGCCTTGTGGGTGCTGGCTCTGTGCCGAGCGCGCCGCCTTCTGATCGATTGTCGATCTTCATCAGCAGCACCACCGCGCATAGCGGGTGGCATCTCTCTGCGCCAGTTTTTCTCTCCCTTATGAGAGCTGAAGGGAGTTTGTTTGTGGGCAGTGGGTCATGCCGAGATGACGAGAATATTGAGATTTTTTGAGCTGTTGCCGACCTCGCGCCACCGGGCGCTGTACCCTGCCACTGCGCTGCGCGCAACTATATGCGTATAACACAACAACACACAAACGCTGTAACACAATACAAACTCTACATTTGAGACATGACAACAGTGCAAGTATGCAAAAATGCGGCATGTAAGCCTTGCTGCTTGCACAGAACTTCGACCTCGGGCTTGAATTGTGTCGCTTGGCGTGCCAGCCGTCGTGCCAGTACACTGCTTGTTGAGCTGCCGACCAATCGGTGATAAACTGACCAGCCGGTGTTGAACTGTCCGCCGAGACGTGCATCATCTTGTGACCCCGCACCATCGAAGTGTGGGCAAGCTGGCGTTTTGAAGCAAGCAACACGATGCGTTTCTCACATCGGTGTCGTATCCCGTTTGGCCACGCAACCAAAGCCCTGCCCACAAGGACCGCATAACTAGAAACAATGCCCTTGATGTGGCGAGGCAGGTCAGCAGGCACGTACCTGGCGAGGGGTGGGGGACCTGGTTGAAGGAGAGGTGACGGCTGATATATGAGCGTACCAGAGCTTTGACTGGGTGTGCCGTGATGCTGCGCCCGGTCCATGAAAGAGTGATGCAGCGCAGTGCTCAAACTCAAACAATTCACTGTCGGGTTGCTGTACACACGGCCTACATTACTGGGCGTGATTCTGAGCACACCCGACGACGTGGTTCCGGTGGTGGTGGCGACGGTGCGTGACACACTGGAAGGGCATACGGTAAAATGGCAAGGGCGATCGGATACCAGTTATGATACCTGCAGTGTCACCTCCTCCAAGCCAATCCCCGAAGCCCCGTGCTATCTCACCGCAAAGCATTGCAGCAAATCTGGTTCTTCTGTAGCCATCCACACGTCGCGCACGCTTCGCTCAAGTTTCTCTACGTGTCTTATTATCAAAAGATACCCTAAACGGCGTGATATTGCAGGCCGAGCTCGGACTTTCGTTGATCATCCCCGATCGACACCACCACAAGGCGCCTGGACACAATGCTCCGCTTTCAGCAGCAGGCCCTTGCGGGGCGGGCCTCAGCCAGGCACGCTCCGCCGATCATGGTCCGTCCTTGCCCGAGAGCGCCTCGCGTGCGCGTTCAGGCAGCAAGCACAGTCGGGGAGAGGTAAGCTGCATGATTCATGCCTTGCGGGCTCAGCACGGGTGCAGAATCGCAATCTCGCACGCTGACGGTGCTGTGTCGCACCCGCCGCTTCACGCTCGCTCGTGCATGCTCGCCCGAGACGGCGTGCCAAACTCGTCCAACTGCACCGGCCTCTCATGCCTCAAGGCTATACACTTTGCGAAAATAGGACCGCGTGGCGCCCCGAGCGTGGATTCCGCCCGCCCCCGCCCCACCACCCCAGGCAGGCGCCCCCGCCGCTCCCGCGCGCGGACAGCGATGCGGGCCGCAGCAGCCAGGGCAGCGAGGCAGACCAGCAACGGCGGCCCGCGTTCGCGAACTCGGCAGAGGTCGTCGGTGAGCCGCGGCGCGGGAATCTTGGGCGCGCCGCGGCCCTCGGACAGTAGTAACCTCGGATGATTGTAGTTGTCGTGGTTGGGGCGGCGCGCCGCTCCCCGCGCGTGGCCCGCGCGCGCTGTGCTGCGC